CAGTTTCAAATTCATTTAATAGCAATATCTTCAAGAGATAATCGCAAAGTTTGACTTGAAAAAATAAAGCTAGTCTTAATTCCCATTCTTAATTTGGCTTACAAGATGATAATTAGATCACAGAAATGTACTAGAATAGAAAATCTTTCAATAATCGTAAGAACAGTTAATAAGTGAGTCGAAATAGACAACAAATGACTCCCATTTATTACCTATATTTTTCATTTCATATCTATGATTTTTCTATGTTTTGCCTGTTATTAATTTTTATCCTCGGTCTAATTTTTAAATGAGAAAACACAGAATACACAGAAAATATTACCTTTTTTTGTAGTAATAAGCGATGAAAAATAAGCTATTACCTTCAAAAGTTTAGTCGAAAGATCACTTAAAATTAATATACAAAAAAAGCCAAAAAATAATAGACCATAATAATTATAAACATAATGACAACAAAAAGCTAAAGAACTTCCTGATAGAGGAAAACCCAAACCACTAAAATATATTATTAACTTTCTAAAACCTTCTGTTTGGAAAACAAAAATACAAAAATTTATACTAACAAGTTAACTACCAAAACCTTGACCTCATCAAAGTTAAATTCTAAATTAAACTAAAATAGCCCTGAATCATATTAAGTAAAAACATTCTAATTAAAGTTAAAAAAATAATTCTCTGTAATAAAGCAAAAAAAAAATTTCCACTAAAAGAACTAATCTTATAAAAAATCCCCCGCTAAAAAAACTTAAACTAGAAACAAAAAATATTAAAAATTGGACCAATTAAAAAAATGATACTAATACGCAAAAGTAAAGATACCCCTCTTATTGAAAATCTCAATAAAAGGGAAAAAACATAATAATTCTAGTAAATCAGTCTCAACTGTGATCCTCTTCAAAAAAAACTAAAAAACTAGAATACAATAAAGTGAATATACGAGCCCTCAATCAAGAAAGATTAGTAATTAATAATAAATAAAATGCACTTCTTCAAGGTCTAAATAAATGAAATACCAAACATGCTAACCAAAAGCTAACTAAAACAAAAAACAGTTTTTTTACAATTTACAAATTGTCCTCTTCGCAACACAAAACTTTTAGAAGATAATTCACCTAAAAAAACTCTCCACCTGAAACATTAATTTTCAAAAAACAATTATATAATGAATAAAAAAATAAAAACATTCAAAAAAATTAACAAAATCGCCTAAATATTACCTATTTTATTTCAAAATTAATTCTAAAAAATTTAAACTAAACAAGCATAAAATAAAAATAAAAAAACCCAAAAAAATAAAACCCAATAGGCAAAAAATAATTTCGACACAAATTTATCATAACGAAAACGAAGATAAGCTCTACGAGCAAAACTACTAAAACAACTATAACATTTAAAAAAATTCATACTAAAAAAACAAAAATACAGCAAATTAGCATACTCCTCTAAAAACAAACAAGCAAACCCAACAGTAGAGAACTTAATACCACTAAATCACTCTCATATTCAGTAAAATCAAATGGAGCCGTATGTAAATCAACTAAAATCAAACAAAAAAAGGCAAAAAAAAACAAAAATTTAAATTTAAATAAAGCAATACCCACTATTAAAAGCTAAAAAAATCAAAAAATATAAAGAAAAAGCAATCTCATAAGAATAACTCTGACAAATAGAACGCAAACCAGCTAAAAAAGAATATACCCCTCTAAAAATCCCTGACATCATAATAGGAAAAACAGAAACTCCCATAACACACATTAAAAAAACTCCAGAATAATCAAAACAAAAAAAGAAAAAATATAAGGTAAAGAAAACCAAAATATAATTATAACTATAAAAGGTAAAGCAGGTACAAAAAAAAAGAAATAATACTAGAAAAACACAGAAAAATATGTTCCTTTTTCATTAACTTCAAATTCAAAATTGCTTGAGCCAAATTATTTCAACCAACCTTATTAGGGCCAATACGAACCTGACTACCGCCTAAAAAATGACGCTCCTAAAATACCATAAAATCAACAGCTTGCAAAATAAAAACAATTATTAAAACAATCCCCAAATAATAAAAAAACAACAAAACTTTCACCTAAGAATTTACAATTCTTTATTCTAAACTTTAAAATAAAGTTTAATGAATAGAAGTAAGTCTCCTTACTTCTACCATACTACAACTTACGCCCCTTCAGGCCACTGACG